GGACTCCAACCTGCCCCTGGCACTATAGCCCCCCCCATGCTAGTCTGCCCTGCCGCTGTCTGACATGGAGTTTGGGTGCAGGAGGGAGCTCGGGGCGGGGGGTTGGGGCCAAGGGGGGGCGCTACAGGGAGGCTCTTACCGTGGGTGGCTTGGGCCCTGGTGGGCCGCCTGCCACAGCCTCGCAGTCTGGTCATCGTGGCTCTGTTGCCGCGGACTTTCCCAGTGTGGTCCATGAGATTTCAGTGGGGATGTGAGCGGTTAACTGGTAACTCGCCCTTACCGGTTCCAGTTAACCAGTGTGGGCGGGTTTGATCCATTACATGGAATTTGACATCCCTAGTTTTCAGGGAGATGTGGCTACATGGCAATGCAGAAAAGTTAGCATGCGCTGTTTTTACTAGAGAGAGTTAGGAAACAAGGGTGGGACCTGCACAATTGAATCAAGTGGTATTTCACGTGGACTCAGTGGATTGTTCCTCTGGAATAGGCCGTACCACACGGGGTTAGTACAGAACTTTCCACCAGCTGACCTGCGCCGGTGCCTCCAGAACACCCACAGCAGGGTTAGGTGAAAGGGATAAGACCTCAGAGCGGTGTCGAAAGCCTAGACTAATGCTTCCGCTGATGCAGCATTGCAGGTCCAGGGTTGGTTTGTACAGATTCACACTTGGCCCTGTGCTGTGTCTTGAACTCCCCTCTCTCCACAGTGCTTTGGAAATTCATCCAGGGCAGGAAGAGCAGCCGGAGGGGGGTGCTTCTGATAGGCCTTTGCGACTCAGGGAAAACGCTGCTGTTTGTCCGCGTAAGTACGGTCCGGGGGGGTTGGCATTGCCACTGCTGAGCTGGGGGCTGAGGCTCTTCTCAGGCCGGTTTAAACGGTTCTGTGGCACGTGTGCGGAAGGGGAGCCCTTGCTTGACAGTCAAACTTTCAGGGACAGTAGGTTCTGCTCCATGGCACCGCGGACACTAACGCCTTGCAGTGAATAGCTCTGTTTTGCTGGGCGTTAGTGAGTCGGTTACTGGCCACGCCATTGATTAAGGGCAGGTTTTTACGAGGAAGGCCTCTCTAGCTGCAGACCCGCAAGCCTGCCTACGCACGACTGCACAGAAGACTGAGGGCAGGTTGGGAAGGCGCACAAGGACTGCACAGAAGACTGAGGGCAGGTTGGGAAGGGGATCTTGGTGCAGTCTTAATCTTAATCTTTCCTCATGTTCCAAAAGCCTCCTCTTTTTGCCCTTTTTTGACTTCTCTCTGTCCAGGAACCTCCTGTCAGTTTACCATTTCCTGAACCAGACGGCCCATCCTTTTGCTGAGCTCTTAGATTTCATTAAGTAGAGAAAACATTTTCTCTGACGCTTGGAAATAGAATTGATTTTTCTTCGCCTTGTTTTTATTTTTATAGCTGTTAACGGGCAATTACCGAAACACCCAGACCTCCATAACTGACAGCTCTGCTGTTTACAAAGTCAGTAACGACAAGGTAAGCAGGCACTGGTTTAGATTCTGCGTAAAACTCACCAAGCTTGGTTGTGAATTGGTGGCTGTAGCATGTACAACAAATACACTCTGCTTCTGCATGCGGAAGCGCAGGCCTCCGCACAGTTAGACTGAAGCTGTAAATCTGATTTGGTGTCATCTCCTCCAGCTTTGTCTAAACTGGAACTAGTCTGCCTAAAACGTCACTTGGTTAGTCTGAGCTGGGTAGACTCTCCCTAGAGAGGTTTGGACAATTCCGAGAGGGAAGGGCAGGCGCTGAAGGTTTGTAGGAGGTTTCATTTCTTCCCTGTTTGTCTTTGGCTTTTTTGGCTCCTCTCTTCAAAGTGGCTCAGCCTAGAAAGTACAGATTTGTGAGTAGTTTTTTTGCATTTATTTCAAACGATTAGGCCTTGCTGTAGGTTGCCGCAATGTCAAATGTAATTTTTAAAAGATTTAAATTAAGGAAGCTGTATGCTTAAATAATTGAATTACAAATTAGGGAGTTAATTATTTATCCGTCCTGCAGAATGCTACTTTATGGATGGGTCCTGCAGATTTAAAGACCACAGAGTAATGCGGTGGCAAAAGACCCCCACGCTTTGTATGGGGCTGTTGTAGAAACTGCCTGCCTGCCTGTCCAATAAGTGGCAGATCCTGGGCCTGGCTGCTGCAGGACTTGTGCGCAGTCCTTGCTCTGTAGATTGGCCATGGCTGGCAGCATGGCTTGATTACCCTGCCCGGCGTGCCTGCGCGCGTGTGTGGGTTAAATATTGGTGGGTCTGTTACTGCTTCTGGTTCCTGTCCAGGGCTCCAGCGTGACGCTGATTGACCTCCCAGGGCATGAGAGCTTGCGGCTTCAGTTCTTGGAGAAGTTCAAAGCTGCGGCCAGGTGAGTGGCCAAAGGACCGGGCACGGGGTGTGGATGCTTCAGTCTGCGAAAGGAAAGAAGCCAAATTCCGACGTGCAGGCTGGGCTGGGGAGCGAGGAGGGAGGGAACTGAGCACGTCTGGAGCACCAGACAAGTGTAACGAGTCCAAAAAGGAACGTGCAGCCTCGTCCGTTTCCTTCGCCGTTCCGCGCCGGGCCTGCTCGGCTGTGCCCGCTGGGGGCAGGCTGGCACTGCGGCGTGTATTTCTGGGGGCAATCGAAGGAGGCTTCTGCTCACCTCTGTCTGCACGTGGCAGGGGTTTCTTCATGTGATGAGCAAGCAAGGCGGGGGGGGGGGGGCTCC